GAATGACCACGACGATTATCAATCGAACTTGTAAGTCTTGCCATCTATAAATCATAAACATTTAAATTAAAAATAAAAGAAGATTTTTAATCGTTTAAAACAGCATTCATACGTACTTTTAATGACCAGGTTAAAGTATTTGTATCAAAAAGATTAATTTGTTTAATATCTACAATATTGCTGTTTGCGTTATCCTTAATTTCATAACCTCCAATATACGCAATAACACCATTCGGTAATAATGTTGCTGTATATGAAACTCGTTTTCTAGGTGCGTCAATTGGAGAAATAGTTGTCCAAGTTAAACCGACAGTATCAAAAATGATCATCTCATTAAAGAATTTGGTTGTCGGGGAACCAAATGATTTATCTGTACTTCCACCAAATATATATAGCTTTCCATAATTACTAACTGCCTTCATTTCTCTTCGCCGTTCAGGTGAAATTCCGCTAACAGGAGGTATACTCCACGTCGAGGAATTTACATTAAAACGATGTATAATAGAAGTAAATAAATTATTAAGATTATCATCTACCATCAAGCCACCAAATAAATAAATATTTGGATCTTTATTTATATTATCAGTTGCAACAGTTGCCCATATGCTCGAAAATGGAATACTGGCAAGGTAAACCCATGGAGTATTTAATTTATCGAATGGTTGAGATACATCAAGATAAAAGATTTCTTTGGCGGTTTGAGAAATTATATCACTCGCTCCGCCAAAAAAGTAAAGCTTATCTTCTACAAGGACGGAGGAATGCGCTAAACGTCCATTAGGGGCAAATGATTCAACTACCAATAAAGTAGAACAAACAAAGAAAATTATAAATATGCAACTATATTTTAAAGGTATACAAATGTTAAAGTTCATTTTTCATAAATACGGAAGCGAGAAGGCTAATGAAAGAATTAATATCAAAAATCTAAAAGTTGTGTAACGTTCCACATGATTTGTGAATAGTCACCTATTTTTTTATTCGATTTCCTTTGTCTACCTTAAAAAGAAGAATATACTATATATCAATAATTATACAATAATTCTGAGTATAATAATTGTAATCCCAGCATTTAATCATCCATTTATATTTAAGAAAAATTCTTTGATGCAAATAGATGATCGAGGCGTTTACTATGTTTATATTATGTGCGACCCAAACAAATATTATTTGTGGTCAGTTCTTTATTATATTTCCGAATAAGAATTCATTTTATCCAATAGGAACTACAAGTAATTTTCCTGAAAAAGAAAAATCGAAACTAAGCATAAATTCTTTTTTTTAACCACAATCATTTAGCAAAATTTTGTTATACAGAATTAAATATGATCATTGGTGACATTAGTTGGCGTATTCATTGAGTGACACATACGGATTATCACTAACAACATGTGATTAAGTAGATCAAACGACACGTATTACACGTTTTACATGAATCATTTTTATGATATTTGCCGCAGTGTGAGTTCATCTGAGACGCAGAACGATTTGCGACTAACACCGTATATGGATTTCCTTTTAAAGGAGATCCGTAATGTAATATTTTAATAGAAACCTCCCATATATGAAGAAATTTTGCAGATTTTTGTTTATTTTATAAAATGTATTTAGAAGTAAAGTAGAGAAGAGATTTTTGATATATTTTAAAAAGTTATCTAAAAATAATGAAGAGCGGTTATTTTAAAAAAAAAATACAGAGGAAAAATATTTAGAAATTTTTGAAGAGTGATCTTTATCGTTATTTTTTTTTAGTTTTGAAAATAAATTAAAATGTTTCACAAAAAGAAGACCTAAATTTCGCTCTTTTATTAGATGTTTAGAATAACTTCTCTAATTGCCTATTACAGGATGCTGTAATGTATGATATTTTACATTTATATAAATTTATACATTGAACGATGCAATTTTCGTATACTTCAATTCTTTAAATTTTGTTTTGTAAAATTTCTGATTTTTTAATCCTTTAAAGATTTCCGTATGATTTTTTTTAGTGTAACCAAATTGAAACTTGAAATTTCAAATATGGACAATATAAAGTTAGACATCTATTTTTCATAAGGATCATAGCACATTTGCAGTTCAACATTTTATCAATGATCTATTTCACAGCGGACAATCAAAATATTATACCTTTTTTTTTTACTGAAAAAAAATTAAAAAGTTAAAGCAAGAATAATTTTCACAGCAAAAGTAATTTTGCATTAAAGTCGAAATCTTTCGAATCTTCAAGAAATTTGCTTGTCCTGCGAGTTAGTATGCCATAAATTATTCTATAAAGCATTTAAACTTTATTATAATTAAAAAAATTTAAAGTTAAAATAATTTGGATACAAATAAATAAAGGTGAGGTGCTACCGCTTTAAATAGTTTCAAAAATGTTAACTTTTTTTAAGATTTATTCTTTTTTCATAGAGTTATAATATACTTCAAAATCCATAATATGTAGCTATTTATAAAATACAAACTTAGTTTTCGAACATACTATTATTCAGAAAGAATCGATGGTATGCAATAATCATATATTATTTCAAAGTCAGCAGCCTCAGATAATTAATGAAATTATAATGACAAAAGCTAGTATCACTAATACTCTATTATTAATAATCCCGAAATCGCAAAGTTTGCTTCTCGACTTATTTAGATGTCTCAATTAATAATGAGAAAATCCAATGCAAATTGGTTAATCTATATTTCGTTAATGTCAATGGTTTAATGGTTTTATAATAAAAGATTAAAGGTTGTTATATTAAAAGTAAAAGAGGATCTATGCAAGTCTTTAAAAGACAGCAAAAAATAAATGAACATTTACCTTCTCTGATTGATCAATAATATAATAAATTGGACACATTCATATTTAGATTCGATTAATGTAGTTTCATCATTTCGTTCATCTAAACCCCCTTATTAACTTTAGGAAATCGGAACCCGTTAAAGTCAGTCGCGTATTCAAAATAAACTGTTTAGTTATATTCCAAAAAAGGAAATTGCGGTGACGTCAATGGAATGCCTATTTTATAATCCATCGCAGCTCAATAAACAGTATTTATTAATTGTCTCGTTAAGACGAGAATTAGAAATGAAAAGGTTTAGGACTCTTACCCAATATTTTTAATATAAAAACTTAAATTTAGTTTATTAAAAGAAAAATTATTTTCTTATTAAAATTATTAAAAAGAATTTTTAACTTTAATTAATAATATTTTAAAATCAACTTTTTCTTTTAAAAATTATATAAAAGACTATTTCAATAATCTTATTTAATAATTTATTAAATAAAAATATCAAAACAGTTTTCTAATAAAAAAAAAAAATCATCATATTAAAAATTAATGTAACAAGGTGATTTTAATAGCAAAAATTTAAGAATTATTCTTTTGATGGCACGGTAAACACCAATTACTTAAAGTATAATTATAATATTTTGAAAATTCTTCATTAGTCATAAATATTGAATTTAGAAAAATCTGCCAATGGCGCAGTATATAAATAAGACTAGGTAACGGAAGTCCGGAGCGATAAATATGGTGATCACAAGTGATTCAGCAAAAAGGTATACAATCTCGTGCATAACAGACAAATGTAGTACAAACAAGCGGGCGGCAAAGGATTTGCATTTAACATCCAAATATGTAAGGTCGGCGCATCTTGATGCTGTGTAATGTAAATTTCATTTATAAATTATAATGTTGCCAAAAAAAAATTTTTTTTTAAGTAAAATTTTATTATGGCTTATAATAAATTACTTAAATTATGTTTCATCATCATAATTATTCATTTGGTCTTTAAAGTTGAGTCATTTACTCCTGTAGGACGTGGCGTTCATTCAACTGTCCTTGTTGGAAATAAACTATATTTTTTTGGTGGAAGAAATGAAATAACCTGTACAAACGAAGTATTTTACCTTGACGTATCACAACAATTTGATTCGAGGCTTCCGCCATGGACCGACATTACATTAAATTCAGGAATAAAATTTAATAGTTGTTGGGCGACTACTGTTGCAGTGAACGATAGTAATAATAACCCGACAATATACCTTATTGGAGGATTTATGTTGGATAAAGATAATATAGATGTTATGACCTCACAAGTACATACATTTAATCCAAATTCCGAGCAATGGAATGCACCTATAATTAAGGGAACAGAGCCATTGAGACGAGGATTTCTTCAAGCCGTCGTTGATAATGCCGGAAAAATTTATATGTTTGGTGGAGGTTCTTTAGGAAGAGGAAGTGTTCAATATTTTAATGATATGATAATATTAAGTACTAAAGATTTAACGTGGTCATATGGTTCTATTGCTAATGTTCCTTCAGAACGAATTGGATATACAGCAACATTATTATCAAGTGGTACCATAGTATATATTGGAGGCCGGCAATTAACTACTGATATTAATAGGCTTGAAGTAGATATTAATAAAATTGGCCTTTATGATACAAAACTTGACACCTGGTCAATAATGGTAAGTATACAAGTATTTATTGTGATTCTTCTTCTTAAAAACAATTAATTAAACATTAGAAAATTTATTTAAGCAAGCAGCGAGTGTTGGTCAAATTGAATCACGTTTCGGTCATACAGCCGTATTAGGTATAGTTTATTATCATTAATAATTTTTATTTTGAAATATTTATAAAATAATTTTTTTTTAATATAATATAGTTCAAGATGAAAATATAATTATATTTGGTGGGGCAAAAGGTGACAGTAGCAAACATATTAAAGCCGTACCAGACCTGATTATTTTGAATACTCAAACATATGAATGGACCATACCGCAAATATCATCAAATATTGATGAATTTCCATCACTTGTTCAACATTCAGCAAATTTAGTTGAAAATTTTATTATTATTGCTTTTGGTAAATAATTCATATACGTAATATTTAACATTTTTATTTTGACTTATCTAATAAATAAATGAATTATTGAATTATATAGGTTATCTAACACATCAAAATGGATTAACAGAAATTTCATTTTCAAGAAACGTTTACTTGTTAGATATTAGTAACTCTAATAATTTTATTTGGGTTGATAAATTTAAACCTAAAAGTTTATCTGATCCTACATCTTCAAATACAAATTCATCGAATACTCCCTCAACAACTGTAGCTACAACTGCTTCGTTCTCACCAAAAACTAATCATGTTGTAATTGGTACATTGAGCGGAATTGTGGGTACCGCAATTTTAATGATAATTGGAATCCTTGGCTATAAATGGTATCAAAAAAGAAAACAAAATGAAATTATGAGGATTTCTGGTAATACTACTACTATGAAGCATAACGATATTTTATAACTATTAAAATTTTTTATGATAATTTATTAAAATGTGCAACAAAGTATAATCAAATCAATTAAATAGATTAAGAAAAAGCTCATTACAGTACATTTACGAAAGAGTTAATTTTTTATTTTATTTTATTTTATTTTTTTTTTTGATTATTTTAATAATTGAAACATCGGAGTTATTTCTTTTTTTTTAAAACAAAAATGCAATAATGTTTCAGAGGAAGAAATGTTTTGAGGGAATGATCTTGTGGTTTATTTTTTAAAAAAATTAAATTCGTTTTTTTTTGCTAAATTCGCTCTTTAATTAGAAGATTTAGAAATCATCTTTTAAGGCTTATTACAGAATGCCTAAATGAGCCATAGCTTGAACTAGTTTTTTATCAAGAATATTTTGATAGCATAAATAAAAAGGAGGCTGATAATCAATTCAAACTTGCTTTTTTATTGCATAAAGCGTCAACAATTCATCTTATTTAAGTATTTATTATTTTCTTTTCATTAGGTTTTTCAAAAGTAAAATTCGCCTAAAATGAAATTTGTTAACCATAAAAAAAAAAATAAACAAATTTACCTTTTTCGTGTTTTACCTTTTTGTTTTTTAGAAAAGAATCTCATATAACAATGAGGGAACTATATTAATAAAAGAAAGTATAAATGAATTTTTCCTTCGTCATAGTATGATTTAAGTCAACATCATAAATCACACGATAATATCTTATTTTACGTTGATAAATAATCAAAATTATCTAACTAATCGTAATATGAATTGGACATTTTGACGTTCTGCGTATTTAAATATCGAGAAATGCTTTCCGAGTTATAATCTCGAAATAATTTTGAAAAATATCAACAATTATTTTTATTATTGCGCCATTGGTTTATAACATAGACATCATAAAAATTCGCACCACCGATGCAATTTAGCTTAAACAGTTTATATTTGCTGTGAAAGTATTGAATAGATTACAAATTATATTATTAAATAGATTATAATCGAAGTTATTTAATTATATAATTTTTTTTAAGCTGCAGAATAATAAAAAAATCGAAATCTTTTAATTTTGTATGCTGCATTTTTTTTTTTAGACCAAATATTTTAAAGATCAATTATATTAATATTTATGAAAAATTTCAAATTGAAAACAAAGGTTTTTTTTTCTTGAGTCTGGCTACTAATGTACTATGGTTTGAGTATATCCTTGCAGAGTACAGTCCGACGATCTTTTATGTCACTTTTTAGCTCAGTCATATGAATTTGGGTTCTGATCATCATCGGACCGCCTGCAACGGGCCGGCATATAATTAGTATAGAAATTTCCGGGCCGGGTCCGGGTTCAAGGTACCAGCCCGGATTTTTTATAATCAAATTGCAATTTTGTATTTTTATTCATTATAATTAAAATAATAAAAATTTGTTACTGCACTAAAAAAAAAATTGAATACTTGTTGTGTACAATTTTGCTTTAGCAAGAAAATCAGAAATAAAAAAATAGTTTAATGAAACAATATTTTGATCATGGCAAAATAGTTATGATTTGGTGGTTGTGGTTAGGTAGTATTCCCATTTTCTCAAATCTGAAACATCTCGTAAATTTAGAAGCGATATACTGTATGAAGCATTAGTCGTTATCACACACATGATCAGAGGAAAAGATTACGATAGCTATTTTGGAGAATCTCATCATCCCATTTGTAATTTTTAAAATTTTCTTGTTTAGCTTGATCAATTCTAAGGGGTATTACACAAAACTGTACATACGGTTAGCAATGTATGTATTGTACGGTTTTTTTTTAAATGTATGTATGGTATGTATGCTTTAAAAACCATACATGCATTTTCTAGAAAATATACATGTATGAAATTTTCGACGATAAATTAATTTTCTATTTTTTCGTTAAACTTTTGATATAAAAAATATATAAAATAATTTTTAACACATTTTTAATTTATATTTTTAAGAAAAATGTATTTTATTTATTTACTTTAATATTTATTGATTAATAAGAATTGCATTTATTTCTAATTATTTTCAAGCTCCTTACGTAATTTAATATTTTCTAATTCTAATTTTTCAATTTCAGCTTGAGCTCTACGATATGCTAATTGCCTTTCAGCTAATTTCATATTTCGTTCTTCAATATCGATTTCTGAACATAAGTTATTTTCTTGTTCATTATCAGGTTCATTAATATTGATTCGGGTTTTTTTGACTTTTGAACTATCTATAACAGCTTTTCTTTTTACATCTTTTTTATCGGATATTTCTTGATTTGTTAAATCATGCATTATTTACAGGTCAAAAGCTGTCCAACCGGTAAATACCGGTTGGAATATATTTGCAAATCTGAATCTTTATATGGCAAAATAAAAAGCAATCGGCACTAAGGAAAATGCCTATTAATATTTATTGTTAAATCACGGATTAAACGATGTTCAACCGGTAATCATACCAATTGGAGTATACTTTCCAATCTGGAATCTAATATGGTAAAATAAATAGCAATCGGTATATCATTATAATTTGAATACAATCGGAAAATTTTCTATTGATATTTATCGTTAATATTGAAATTTTTATTGTCATCTGTTTTTCGTTATAATGAAATTTTAATATGTATCGAAATTCCCATTTGTACTTGATGTTAAAATATTAATTTAATAGAACAACTTGATAATATATATGTTTTAAAAATTAAATAAGCAGTATATTAGTAGCGTCCGAGTTATATTTTACATGTGAAACTTTCTTTCAATGGGAATCACAGCCATATATTTAGTAGGATTCCTCTTACCAATCTCATAACTATTTGGTATGAATCTACCAAGTATGTTATGAATCGGTATTATACAATCTCTACTGATATCATAAAAATTGTTTGTCCAAATTTCAACATTACAGCTTTTATAGTCATTCTCTATTTGAAAATGAAACCTTGTTTGATAGTTTGGAGCCGGTATAAACCATCTGACAAAGGCTATTCAGTGAATACGTTTTGTGATTTCATGTTCAAAATAATATTGAACTTGACCCAGATACGTTTCAACTGTCCCATTCTCTTGTACAAACTTTGCAAGTATGTATGAATTCTTTAAATATCGATTCGCAATAGTTGACCCAAAAACCTTGACCCCAATTTGAATGTGTCCAAATTGACTTATCTGGATACCTTCTCAATGGAAAAAAAAATCTAAATTATCATAAGCCGCATTGTAATATTCAACTAAAAGCTTATACATATTATCTGATAAATTAACATCAACTTTTTAGGAGTCATCATTTCACCAGGAAAGAATTCAGTGCCAGTAATAGTATTTTTAATTTCGAGACAATAAATTTGCCTGAATTGAACAAGTTCAACAAATTCAAAATCATCATAATTTGCCAAACTTCCTGTTGTCATATGTGATTGTATTAGCTTTAAACTTTCAATAAGTATTGTGTTATTTAACTGAGCTGATAAAATTTCATCAAGTTACCAAGATTGCATTATTATTCGTAATAGTTCTGACTCTCTTTGGTGATGACTATTTGGAAAAGAGCCTAAAGATATTAACAATTAATAAATAAATATATATGTATATGTATATTTTTAACAATAACTAGCATATAACTTACCTAATATACTATTTATTCTTTCGAATAAGTAACACCAAAATGAATAAATTAGACCGTAATCTCAGCAAGATGAAGAAAGAGATGCATATTCAGTGTTATCATTTCTGGACCATAATTCTCTTCTACTAGACGAGCAACTATTAGTAATCAGAAATGAGCTTCATTCAATGCATTATCCTCAATAATGTGAGTTATTAAAATTATGCAAACTCTTATGAAATTTGCTAAAATCTTCCTATCATTATCATCTAAAATATCCCACATTAATGGGATTGCATATATCATAATGAATGATTCCCATTAGTTAGCAGTAAAACCTGAAACCCATTTCCAGTTGCAATTTTATAGGGTATTCTTCTTAAATTACTGGGAATTTTTATATTTTTTTGCTCACTTTTCATTAATTTGAAATCAGATTTTGTTATTTTTCCACAATCAATTCACAACCGTTTTACGATCTAATATACAATTCTCAAAACAAGTTATGCATCAGATCGACTACTAGAAATCTAAACAGATAAAAATATAGTAGACAGAGCATTTCTAATCACTGAACATGTGTTTTACTTACATGCTTTTTTCAATCTTCATTTATTTGTTTGTGATTCTAAATCATTGCATTATAATGATATTCTAAGCATTTTTTGGTCTAAACCATTCACTAATATCATCAAATCTCCCAAAATTCAACTTTTGATTTTCTCCTCTACTTGCTCTCTTATAACATCTGTAACAGCCAACTAACATAGATATATGACCACATAATTTTCTAGTAGCCAGTATATCATTTGAGCAACAAATTACTACTAATCTAATACGATTTCTAGTTGGATGCTTATCTGATACAGGCAAATTAAAACCATCCAAAAGTTCTAATAGTTCATCTACTATAAGAGCAAGGTAATAATTAATTCAGTCTAATTTTACTTTGTTTGGCTCTGATAGTAATCCTAATATCTTTTTTAAATCTTATATCATGTGAAAGATTACAAATGATATTATAAATTACTCCACAACTATAAGATAAAGAGTTAAATGGCTGAAACTAATCTAAATTGATCATAATTTCTAAGTTAGAATCAGCTGTTTTAGAAGTAAAGAATTTTGAAGAAATTTGGTTATTTACACTTGATAAAAATTCTTTCCATATATTACCATCATAAATATCTGACTTGATGCCATTAACCACATTACGATTGATCTATTTCCTTAAAATTTCTTCAAATTCTGATCATTTATACATTACTGTTAATTGTGTTTTTAGACATGGTAATAGAAATAACATTTTTGGATGCCATATATGATCATTATTTACTAAAACCTTTATAAGCAATTCTAATTCACAAGGCTTACATTTGCTCTGCATAGGATGATGTAAAAATTTAATATTATTACATTTAAATCCTGTAAAATTAGTATTTTTTGAATTATCTGAAGTTATTTCATTAATATTATATAATTTGTTATAATCAGTACAAGTAGCAAAAGTTATTGATCTTTTCTTGATATCCAATAACTTTCTAGCTATATATGCAGTTGATAGAAATTCTTTAAATCTATTTAAATCAATATTTCTTAATACAAGATTAAAGAATCCAATTAATGTATTGATTATGACATCAGAAAAATGAAACCTTTTCTGATATTTAAAGATCCAAAGAAGAATTTATAAATCATCTATATACATATTATTTTTATTATCTGAATTATAGTTTAGATCAGAAAAGTTAGATGCTGCAAATAATTTATTAACATTTAAAGAAAATTCATAATCCTTTAAATTCTGTTTATCATCAACTATTTCATTAATCAGTTGAGAACTTTTTTTATCATTAGATGAACCTTTTCCATCATCAGTTGAACTAACTTGTTACTCAAATTCTTTTATCAAAATTGTAATAATATCATTATTTTTGTAAAATTGATCATATTGTCTTCACTTTTTCTGAAACTAACTGGTTTTCTAGTAAAAATTTTTTCATCAGATTGTTAATTATTATTACTTATTTTTATAAAATTATTATGAAAATTTTGAGAATAGTCATCAACATTGGATTAAATTTTATTCAAAAGAGGTATATTTAAACAAGCATCTTTTTTGTCTTTATTTTTCATTAATTTTGTGATCGATTTTTGAAGTCTTTTCTCTTCTTTTTCATGTTTATCCCTAGTACTTGTCTTTACAATTTTACCATTACATTTTTTACATTCACATTGTATATTTAGTCAAACTTTTGTATGTATTTTAGGCATTGATTTTGAAAATGAAGATATTTTTATAATAAAATAACAAATTTAAATATTTGGTTTAAATATAAAGTCAAAAGTTTAATTACACATAAATTTATATTATATTTATATTTTATTAATTAAATGTTATTCTATTTTATATTGTTATTCATCATAAACAATTATTATTATTTTATTTATTGTTATTGTTATATTTATTGATGTATTATTCTATATTAATAAGCTTATTTATATATGTATAAAAGTATATTATTGATAAGCTTTTTGATTGATCCTAATAGATATCAACCTTTAGAATATATAAAAGAATTTAATTATCTTACTTAATTCATAAATTTATATAACGCATTCTTCTAGTTCTTGTTGTAGACAAAATAGGTCTTGCTCAACAAATTATAATAAAAATAAAGAGAGATACTTAAGAAATTATGATAGAAGTGATAGAAGTTATAATAAAAGAGGTAGAGATAAATAATTAAGAGAAGATAAAAACAGAAATTATGATAAAAGAGGTAGAAATAGGCAGCTCAGAAAAGATAGAAACACTAACAAATATAGCCAGTAATTTTCATTAATATTATTATTGTTTGATTATTCATTATATAACTATGACAAAAATTCATAATCGCTGGTATAGTTCTCTATCATCTAGTAATTCAGAATCATACAGAAAATCTAATAAAGAATTATCTACAAAGAAACTTTGTAAGATATATAATGATAATATGAAGGAAAATGAGAAACAATATAAAGAAGGTAAGTTTTATTAATTAGAATATATACTTATATTATGTTTACTATATTATATATAATCATTATAAATTTTAGATCATGTTGCTTCACTTTTACAAGATAATGAAAATCAGGATCTGTTTAAGAAATTTTTATACCAAATAAAGAAATCTGAATTGAATAAAATTTTATCTTCAGATCAATCCAATATAAATTGTGATAAATGCTTAGAATGATATCAACTACGAATCCAAAGTAGAAGTCAATCAAGATCAAATCAAAGTCAATCAGAATCAAGTCAAAATCAATCAAGTTAAGCCAATCAAGATCTAAAGAGTCACAAGTTCAAAGTTGAAGCTGATCAAAATCTAAAGAAAGTCAAAGCTGATTAAGATCTAAAGAGTTATAAGTTCAAAGTCAAAGCCAATCAAGAATTTGAAATCAATTAAAAATTTAAACAAATTCAAAGCCAATTAAGAATTCTATGTGTCTGAAGACATTCACAGTTAATTTTAAATTCTAACTATATTAACTTATATCTAAATATCTAATATTGATCTGATTAATAATCAATCATAAATCTAAAGTTAAACTCGACGAGTAAGAAGTCACTTACAGTCATTCTCAAGTCCTTCAAGTTCAAATCAGAATTCTACTAGACCTAAATACTTATATAATACAGATCTTC